TTTAGTCTTCCTGTAGCACCATCAAAGATCGCTGCTACTCCCAACTCGGGACTTGCCAAACGGGTTTTCAGTAATTCTGGTTTCCTGGATTTATTATGCCGAAGCTCCCATTCGAGATGGTGTGACCAAGATTACAGATATCTGGATTCAACCGATAATCTTAACATTAACTAATACAGATCTAGTTTTTTTTTCAAAATCGTCATCCGTGAGATTCGAACTCTAGATCTGCCGTTTGGGGGTGTGACAACTCCACCACTTCACTAAGTTGCCACACTCTTTAAAATATGTATAATTAATGTCATAATATATTATATATTGTTAACAATTGGATAATTGGGCAGGCAACATCCCAAATTAACCAATCATCCAAACCAATCTAATTCGCTTAAAATTTCTTTACATACCATTCATGTATTTTGAAGTACAGTCGAACCTCCCTATAGTCACCTCCTATATAAGCACATTTTCTTTATAATCACATTTATTTAAAAACAAACTATTATTAAATATAATAAATTTAAACTCTACAATTGTCACACTTCTTTACAATCACGTTTTTATGTATCCCAAGTGTGTGATTATAGAGAGGTTTGACTGTATACAATGTGCACAATATTCACATATTTTTGAGGTGGGATTTTATACACTGCTTAGAACCATTCCACCATCCAAATCTAAATATCTCTTTTGATAGGTTGTCTTGTTGGTGTTGGTTTGTTTGGTTGGATTAGCATATTCTTAGCAAACCAAATTTTAATGAAATATTTAGAAGATGAAACCTTCATAATTATTTAACAAAAGTATTTAAAAATCTAGAGTAGAAAAATAAAATAATAAAAATTATTTATAGTTTAAAAGAAAATCATGATTTGCATAGTAGAAATATTCTATAGCCTGCTATGTCAAATACATTAATTTCTAATTTTGGATTATTATAAAGAATTATCAAAATATATATATAGTATACTGCCATTTTTATAAACAAGAAATATTATACAAAAAGAACAGTTACTATAAAACTCTAAGCAAAAGACCTGGATTTAATACAAATACCCACCACTAAAAAATCTACAAAAGATCTGGTATATTATTCAACTGTGTATTTGTGTCACAAACTCCCACATTTAATTAATAGAGATATTTTGATTTGTGCTAGGATATTTTATACAGGGGTACTCAAAAAGAGATCCTTTGCTCAATGCTTTATGGTAAATATAACTGCAACTGATATTTATACTTTGGTGTGTTGATGTCTATAGTATCAACAGGGTAGCAACAACCTTTTAATATTGTTTAACACAATATAGATCTTGCAATTAAAATATTGTAAAGATTCAGATCTGGATTTTCAAATAACACCCCAAAGTTTTATATTGAATTGGTATATGGATGTATAGATGCTGATCCTGAAACTGCTATTTGCCAAAGAAATTAATCAAATTCTTTAATTTTGAAATCATTATAATTTGTTAACATTTTTGATAGAAATGTTACTTGTAAATATTCTGAGAAACAGCTTTGTCAATTAAGATCGATCAAAAAAATATTTCATGAAATAGATAATGTTAATTTGATTTAATATAGTCAGACCTTTATATAGTTATATTTTTATAATCACACCTCTATATAAGTACTTAATTTTGTTAAATAAACTATTATAAATATATAAAAAAAACCTCTGTATAAGCACAATCTCTTTATAAGCACATTTTTAAAAAAGTTTTTACGCTCCCAACTAAGTGATTATATAGAGGGTTGACTGTATTTATCAATTAATAATCATTAGACCGTTTTTACGTAATAAATAATAATCACTCTGTAATCTTCACAATACATAATAATTCATAACGATAAGTAAGGGGGTAAAAAATAAGTAATTATTACTTAATTATTACATTGCCCATCTCTAAATGTATCTATTGTGAATTTCAGAGTTACTTATTTCGAAAATAAGAAAAAATCCTACGTTCTATTTTAAAATTCCGAATTTGAAAATTTAATATCGACTTGCCTGTCTAAGCTTTAATTTGTTTTGCATTGTTAAGTGCCATAAGTTATTTGGACTATATTTATAAATAATATAACTTAAATTTAATTTTTATTTAATACTTTTGCACCTATGGTGTTTTACCACCTACGTTGCATTATCTTAAAAACTGGCTAATTAATTAATATGCGATGTTAAGTAAAAATGCTCTACATCCTGCCTAAACTTTTATCCTAACACTAAATACTAACTCCAACATAAAAAATCCGTGCCAAAAAATTTTATATACAAAACTTATAAAATCTTAGAAAAACATGTAATGGGAGCAAAACCATCATAGACGCGTTTTATAATAAATGTCACTCCATGTATAAAAAGTAATACATAATATATAAAATAAAATATAGCTTAAATAAAAAATTATGGAGAAAAATCAATTGAAAAAAAAACTCCACTCTAAAACAAATTTTTTTCAGTTCTATAAAAAATAAAGTTTATTAATAATTTTTAAAATGCGAATATTTAATAATTAAAAATAAACATTTATTATAAAACGCACCTTATGGTGGTTTTGCATCTATTATATGTTTTTATCTATTTTTTCTAAATTTTTTGAAGTTTTGTATATAAAATTTTTAGCACAAATTTTTCATGTTAAGGTTAGTATTTAGGATTAGAATTAAGGTTTAGGAAGAATTTTTGGGGCGTAGAGCATTTTTACTTAGAGTATCAATTAATTAGCCAGTTTTTAAGATAATGTAGCATATGTGGTAAAACACCATAGGTGCGTTTTAATAAAAGTGAAAAATAAAATTCATACTTATAATTTAATTTATTATAGCGCTTTGCAAAAGATGAGATTTTTGTGATGATTAACGAGGAAAATTTCCAAGATTCTAAATTGCCTATTAACTCATATTTTCGATCAGTTATATTTATATTTATTTGAAATTGGTAAGATTCTTAAAATCTACTGAATCTCCGATTTTCACACGATTTTGTGATCTGCAGAGGTCTATCTTTTTATAAAGCACAATAAATAGAATTTAAGAAAGCGATTCTGACCAAGCGGTCAATGTTTAAAGAATTCATATGGGCTCATTTTGTGATATCTAAATATGATCGGATTAAAACAAGTGACGTGATAGTATATCTAAATTAATTAGATTAAAATAAACTAAATACCGATACATAATCACGATTAACTGTATTATTGCAATGTGATCATATTTAGATATCACAAATGAGCACGATCCGCCTATATGTTTTGCTACTAAACCGAAAATCTCTGGTATTTTACAACACATGATTCTTGTAATTCAATGACGATATATTTTTGGGGATAATTTTTGACTTGTGATCTGTTACGTATCAGTGATGAAGTATTATTATCGCAAGATCAAATTCAAGTTAAATACTGGTACGTACGTACGTGCGTACGTACTTTACAAACTCATCAATAATATAATTCCCGATTTGGCATAGTTTTATGATTTACGATAAATATTATATTATCTTTCATTTACGTATCAACTTTAAGCCGTAATAACGATAATGTCCATTAATTTCTTTGATGATCTTTCAAAAGATTTTTCTCAACTTCTTGACGAATCTGATGATTATGATGTTGTTATTCAAGCCGGAGAAGAGCCGGATTTTAGAGAATTTAATGTGCATTCAAATGTTTTACGTGCTAGATCACCTTATTTTAAAGTTGCTTTATCTGATAAATGGGCAAAGCGTAAAAGGGGTGCTACTATCTTTAAAAAACCAAATATCTCCCCAGCTGTGTTCCTTCTGATCCTTCGGTATGTTAAATTAATGAAATTACATTTATAATAAGATTACATATACTGTACTGTATTTATGTTAAACGAATGAGACGACTTGCATTAATTCGTAATCGCTTACTCTCTTAATTTTTAAAGATATATCTATACAGGAATTCTTGATTTAACTAGTCAATCGAGTTTTAACATTCTAGCCCTTCTTGTTGCGTGTGACGAATTAATGCTTGAAAAATTAGTTGATCATGTCCAAAAGCATGTAAGACTTAAACGCATCTAAAGCTTTTTTTTCTTTTTACAAACGAGAAACGATTAAATTATAATTATAAATTAATTTAGCTCATTAATCAAGAATCGACCTGGTTACAAAAGAATTTCATTTTCGCTTTGCACACAGTCTTGAAGCTCCAAAGTTGCAAAGCAGTCCAAGACTATATTATGATGACAATCTGTGAAGATCCTAAACCTTTTTTTGAATTAAAGGAATTTCTAACTTTGGATAAAGATATCCTTTTAAGTCTTGTCAAGAGAAGCGATATGGGTATTGAGGAAATTGATCTTTGGAAAAATTTGGTGAATTGGGGAAAAGCTCAATTCATTTCTTCTAATGAAAAATCCAAGAAGGATGTCACTAAATGGAATGATAAAGATTTTGCATTATTAAAAAAATCTTTGGATCAGT